TCATTTCTGACACTTCAAACCTCTTAGCTAGGACTTTAACAAGTCAATTCTACGTTTAGAAACTATTCATAAGCTAAATTCAACCTTTCACTTTAAAACCCATTTCACTAATTCCTTAATAATTCCTTAGTAACTTTGTTTTTCTTCATCTTCAAAATTCCTTAATCTTATATACCTCTTAAAGCTTTAAAACAAACCCATAAATTTAAGAAATCACCATCTTGAAGTAACTCACCTTTAAACAATTGAGTCACGAGCCAATAGAAGAGGAAGAAGAGAAATAACCAAGTCTCCATATACTTATTCTTTTCTCCCTTTTCAATACTTAAAATATCTTAAAATAAAATGAATTTTAAATCCATAAGCTGATAAAAGACCTTTTTGCCCTTTCTCTCTTCCTTCTTTGCTAAAAAGACCTAAACACAAATTTCCAAAATTATTCCATAGCTTATTCCAATTTAAACTACTAAATTTTAATTTCTTACCTTTTAGGTCCCTGACCCGATAGTTGGGGTATTACAAGATCCATTGACTTCTTTTTTCCTTTATATATCAGTTTACGAACAGTCAAGCATTAAATTAACTCAAATCAAATCAAATACAAGTTACATACAATTTATTCAATATACAAGTATCGATAACTAATCTTATAGTAAAACGGTTTCCTTCAAAGGAATGAGAATACTCTCTACTACAAGTATTGATACATTTATACAACCTACAATATCATTTTCTACCTATAATATTATATAAAAGTATCGATATTTATTTTCTACCTAGAATATCACTTTCTAACTGTAATCGGTCTCAAATCCTTCTTTACTTCGAAATCCCCAAACCCATAAACCATAATCCCTATTTTTGAATATTGTAATACTAAAAAAATTAGGGTTTCCTTCAAATGAATGGGAATACTCTCTATTAAAAGTATCGGGGTTTGACTCAGGAAAGTATTGGTACATTTATACAACCTACAATATCGTTTTCTACCTATAATATTATATAAAAGTATCGATTTTTATTTTCTACCTAGAATATCACTTTCTACCTATAATCGGTCTCAGATGTTTCTTTACTTCGAAAACCCAAACCCATACATCTATCCCCTATTTTCGATTACTCTAATATTAAAAAACTAAGGTTTCGACAACGTACTTTTCGATTCGACTGCAGCAACAAACAAACAACTACACTTTCAAAAACGCTATGCTTCTATTTCACAACAACTAATACACTTCGATTTCGATTACTACAGTTGTCTTCTATCTATTTTCAGAGGAAATGTAGTTATGCCTTTGATATTATAACTGAATATGTTATTTATATTTAATCGATACAATTACCCAAGTCTCGATACTTTTGTTTAAGGTATCGATACTTTCGATATATTTTCATTTTTTTTCTTTTCTTTTCAATTCCTAAAGTATCGATACTATGATACATATACTTATAAAAGTATCAATACCTTCAATATATCAAGTATCGCTTTACTGGTTTTGTCATATTGAAACTGGTTTTGTCAAATTTTAACTTGTTATATTGTCATGTATCGTTACATATTTCTAAGGTATCGATACTTTCAAGGCACTATTATTGCAATTATTTTAAATTCCTAAAGTACCGATACTTTGGTGCATATACTTAGAAAAGTATCGATACTAACTTCAACAATTCCGGTATCTCGACCGGTTTTTTCAAACTGAAATCAATTTTATCAAACTTTAACCTGTTATATTTTTATGTATCGATACTTCTATGCAAGGTATCGATACCTTCCGATAAGCTAAGTTTACCGGTTGCAAAATTTTTAAATATTTCTTCATGTTTTCCACCTACAACATATCAAATACTAGTCGAGGAAGATGAAGAGTTTAAACATATCAAATACTCTAATTGACTTCTTAAAGGCGTTAAATTTTTCGACTGACCGACTTCTCCTCGTACTATTTGTTTCTTTCTATTTAAAATAATAATAATTTTTTTTATTATCTCATATAAGTATTTTTTTCCTTAACCTTCGTCTCAACACTTTTGCCTTGTATAAATAGAATTATTTATTTAAATACATGTTTCAGAGCGTAATTTATTTAAATAATAAACTAAAAATTCTTATCCGAAAAGTTGGCATCGTCTAAACAACAGCTGATTAGTTGTGGAAACCGGAAAATCCCGCGTCATGTTTGGGCCCTCTCAGAACGAAAATGCTTATCCCATCGTTTTCTTCTTCTTTTTTCAACAAAAATGCAAATAATAATAATAAGATAAATTACAGATTTAATCATTTAAAAAAATATTTTTTCACTCAAATTTAAAAACACGAAAAATGATTATTAAAATGAGTGACACATGTAATCAAAATATAATGAAACATGTTATTAATGAAATTTATATATAGGGGATAAAGAAATTGTTGTCATTTTTTAAAATCTCGGATTCGAGCATCAGAAATGTCATAGATATGAATATTCAATATCAAATGATTGAAAGTTATCTTTGAACATAAATTATATTATACTCACCTAAATTAATAAAAAAAATCAAAATGAAACTATAATAACAAAAATAAGATGAAGAAAATGAATGAGAAATAGTAGTCTTACCCATGCTTAAAATCTGCTATCTTCTTTCATGGGGAAATTTTAGATATTAAACTTTTCTCACTTAACTTTACTCTCTCCCATATTTCACTTATTGTACTTTCAATTTTTTCACTAAATTTTAGATATTAAACTTTTTTGGTCACTCGACCGTTAAATTTCTAACGGTGATATGACGTTGCTAAATTAAAATTGAAAAAGTTAAAAGTACAGTGAGTGAAATAGGAGAGATGGTAAAGTTCAGCGAGTAAACATGTGATATATTTTATTATTAAAATAAACCATGTAAGCACCCGTTACTGAGTAAACGGTCGAGTGACAAAAAAAAAGTTCAATGTCTAAAGTTCAGTTAGTAAGCGTGTAATTTATACTTTTAATATCAAGTGTATAATCATATCAATTTTGTTAACTGCTAGTTGATACATCTATTCTTCTGTCAAATGTTTACGAAAAATGACTTAATTGATATAATTTAAATACTTCAGTGATTTGATTGATAAAATTAGAAAGATTGATGATCAGATTAAAATTCTTATAATTAAGGGTGAACTACACGTTTAGTACCTAAAATATCAGTTTTGGTCTGTTTTAGAATCTAACAAGTTTTTTTAAAACATACATAAAGTTTAGTTTTGTTTCATTTTAGTACGCATATTCAAAATCTAACATTATTTAAAAAAAGTGAAAGCTAAAGATACTAAAACGGACCAAAACTGATAAATTAGGTACTAAACACGTTAATTTTTAAGGACGGATACTAAAATGGAACAAAAACTAAACGTTAGGTATAATTTTAAAAAATTGAAAATTCAAGTACTCAAACGGAGCAAAACTAATAGTTTAGATACTAAATGCGTAGTTTATCCTATAATTAAATGATTATCGATTTAATTTATCCTAAAATTTAAGCACATTTATTAATATAAAAAAAACAAAGAAATAGTATGCAGACCATTTTTTAATTCGACTTATAAATTCCCATCACCTATACAATAAATAATAACCGAGTGTTCATATACCGTAGAAGATCAAAGTAGCCGGCACAAAGGATTAACAAGAGTTTTCTTTCCCATCACATTCAGACATGTTCATTTGTTTCTATTTAAATCATTGGCGCAGTTTTCAAATTCAATGTGCAAATTAAAACACAAGCTAATATATCATGCAAGCATGCACTAGTCTACTATTTTATTATTATATATTTCGAGTTTTTTTTATATAGAAAGTCACTAGATTTATCAAAAATAAAAAAATCTAAAATTACAACGAAGATTTACAAGTATAACGTAAACGTAAACAAAATTATAATTAGAATATTTTCCTATAACCATTGACACAAAAGCTAACCATCTATATCACACAAGGACTAAATAAGGAAAATGTTAAAAAATCTAACCAAAAGCTTGAACAAAATAAAGATATAAACATATCTGACTACATCGGTAAACGAACCCAAAAGGGGATGAAGCTACTGAAAGTCACCGACAAATCGTAAATCAGAGTCAAGCAACATAAAAAAACTATCCATGAAAGCAAAAATCGTATCCAAATTAATCTGAAAAACAGGAAATATCATCATGATGACAAATAAGCATCATATTGATTAGTCGTGACAATGTCAAATCCAACTCTGAGAAAAAAATAAACGAAAGCAACGATAAAAATCGTAAACTACCAAAAGACAGAGAAAAATATGTCACTAAAGCAGAAATAAATATGTCATAAAGACAGATAACATGTTACACAGACATAATTATTCTTAATAAAAAAACTAAAAAAATAATTAACAGGCGGCACTAATATCAAAACTGATATCACCGTTGATTAAACGAAATTAAAAAAAATTAAATTAATCAATAAAATTAACATAAATTACACTTAATAAAAAACGGAAGAGAGAGGAGAAGATATATTTGGAATTATTTTGAGTGGCTTAGCTTTTATTATTATATTAATCTTGGATTTATTAATTTTATTATATTTACATTTGAAAATGACAAAGACGCATCCAGATCTTACAATATATTATTTAAAATATTACTTCCATAACTAAAAAAACAATTATATTTTGATACTAATCTAATATTGTATCGAACAAATATCTGATAAAAATATATAATTAATCAATTTCAAAATTTCGGAAAAAAGATTTCTAAATTAATTTCTTATTCATTAGGAAATATATATTAGAAATTTATGTATAAAAAACTCAAGTCGACAGACAATAATTTCTACTGTCCTAACACGCTTTTAGGGAAATTCCGAAAATCATTATTTTTCAGAGCGCTAAATACCGCAGAAGTCTCTGTTTCGTTCTTGTTGACAATGGAGGTTTAATCAAAATCCTTTGTCTGCTTGTTTGTTTCATTTTCTTGTTACTATAAATAAATTTAAGTATTGCTGATTATAATTTTTTATATGGCTCACCATACGCAGCAGCATCACCACAGCGCGCCCGATGGCGTTTCACCGCGGGTTCACAGCCCCCGTTTCTCGGGCCCAATGACTCGTCGGGGCCACTCGTTCAAGCGCAACAACAATGGCAACTCCCAGACCGGTACATGTACCGGCGCCAACGCCAGCGCCGCTGGTTCAAGTAACGCCGGTAATAGCGGGAGCAACGGCAATAACATGAGCGTTCATCATGAGATCGATCTGCCATTGAACTCGCCCAGATCGGAAGTTGGAGGAGCTGTGGGTTCCGTTTCAATCGAAGGGTTGAGCCAAAGGAAAGGGTTGTTCCTGAGGAAGCCGAGTGTTGGATCTATGGTTTTTTATTTTGGGCTGAAAGAGAGAAGGAAGGTTGGGCATTGGATGTTCTTGGTTTTCTGTGGAGTGTGTTTGTTTTTGGGTGTTTTTAAGATTTGTGCTTCTGGTTGGTTTGGATCTGCTATCGAAACCATAACATCAAATCGGGTATTTTCCATGATTTTTGAACTTTATCTGTTGTGTCTTTGTTATTGCTGTTTATGATTTGACTTGCACTGAGATTTAATTCAGATGGATTAATGTGAAAAAATGTGATCTATTTCTTTGATATTCCTAAGAAATTTTCTTTTACAAAAATGATCTTGCTTCGGAAATGAATTGGTGACTGTTGTCATGTTTACTGTTTTCACTTTTGGAAAGCATTTACGAATACTAAGAAGAAATTAGGGAGTACAGTAAGTGGCTTAAGTATAGTTTTTGCATTGGAAGATGAAATATTATTATGCCTGTAAGTGGTATTAGTTCTATGTTATTCGTATTCGGATGACCCTTTTTTCCTTCAAAATTTGGAATGGTTTTCCATGTTAGAAGATAATATCCTCTTGTTCATATCCATATATAAGCTGGACATGGGTGTTTTGCACTTATACCTGAAGAAAAAATAAGAGTTGGAGTTTTGTAGGAATAGTTGCATTCTAGGTTTCTTCTTAATCAAAGTTGAGGTCCAGAGAGTGAATTTCAACTTATTTTAGTTGAGGACTTGATCAGAAGCTTAGTCTATCACTTGGACAGAATTGTGTTCTTAACTTTTGTACAAAAAACTGATTTTTTGTTACTACATGTGTTTTTCTTAAGTTATGTTTAATGATTGATCAATTGAAGAACATTTTACAAGACTTTTCCTTGCTAATTTGCCACCTCCATTGTTGTAATTAGGATTTTCTTGATGCATCCACCAATCGACTAAAGCTAACCGATGAAGGCTCTCATGACTACGGGTACAGGGAGGGGGGAAGTGATTCAGATCGAACCTTAATGACACTGGCATCAGATGTAACAGAGGTAAGTTTAAAGTCTTCATCTTAGACTTATTGTCTCGCTTATGTTTGGTTTGCTAGAAGAACATGATTAATGAAAATCATTTGGAACTTATTACTCTGGTTAGCAAAAAGAATCTTGAGATTTGTCTCATTTCTTCTTATCCAGCACTCAGGTATTTGGTCAAAACCATATAGTGAGAATTTCACCCAGTGCATTGACCATTCAAAGAATCATAAGAGTATGGAATTCTTACTGCTTTGTTAATAATCTCTCCCTAATTTCTCTTTCTCTGTGTGTGTTCAGTGACATCTTGATGCTTACCGTGTGTTGCAAAGTTGCAATTGGTTTCTATGCTTTGTTCTAAGCTTGTAAATGTTTCGTTCTTGGCAGAGCTAGATGCAAAGACAAATGGGTACATTCTCGTAAATGCTAATGGTGGTCTGAATCAGATGAGATTTGGGGTCTGTTTATTGTGTGTTTCTCATTGTTAGTTTTTATAGCCTGTCTGTCTATTATTACTGCAGTCTGATGTATCAATAATTTTAGAATGCAGATCTGTGATATGGTTGCTGTTGCTAAGATTATGAAGGCAACACTTGTCCTTCCCTCACTCGATCACTCCTCATATTGGGCAGATGATAGGTTAGCTTCTCTGTGTACCTGGCTAATGGTTCGGATTGTCTGCTTTACACCTAGCAATGCATCAGTCCCTAATATGATCTGATTAAATGTTCAATATTAAAGCTAATAACATGGATTTACTACATGTTTCTGGACTTGAATATTAAAGCTAATAAAGCCTGTCTGATCTGTTCTAAGCTAATAACAAGGATTTACTACATGTTTCTGGACTTGAATATTAAAGCTAATATAGCCTGTCTGATCTGTTCTGAAATGATACATTTCCTTGCCAACTAGGCAAAGCTTTCTTTTTTTGCTCTTAATAAATCGACATGCATTGCTATTAATGTATGGCTAACTTATGGTTATGCCCTAGTTTGGTGGCTTGCTTGACATCTGCTTTTGGCTACTTAAGCCACAAGAGAGTTGCATGACATGCTCTATTGTTGCGTCCTTAGCTAACTGGTTGGTTTGATATGTTTGCAGTGGCTTTAAAGATCTGTTTGACTGGCAGCACTTCATTGAAACCCTGAAGGATGATGTCCACATAGTTGAGACAATACCACCCGAGTATGCTGGAATTGAGCCATTTAACAAAACGCCTATATCCTGGTCTAAGGTCATTAGAACCTTATCTTTGTCATTGGCAATTATACTTACAGGAAGTAAACAATTCACCTATGATTGAGGATGCTTGTTTCTTTTTCTTGGCTTCAAATGGCAATCATTTTAGTAGCCCATCTATACAGCCGTATAAGTGGCTTTGCTTTAGTCAATCATATGATACATGTATTACTGATTCCCTCTGAGATAAGTAGCAGCTAATTATTACGTTCTTTGGTATAGGTTAGCTATTATAAGGCAGAGGTCCTACCATTGCTGAAGCAGCATAAAGTAATCTATTTTACACACACTGATTCTCGGCTTGCCAATAATGGTATCTCAAGTTCCATACAAAAACTGAGGTGCTGGGTGAACTACAAGGCACTGAAATATTCTGCTGCAATTGAAGAACTTGGAAACACGTTGATTTCTAGAATGCGCCAAAATGGAAGCCCTTATCTTGCTCTACATTTGAGGCAAGTAGAATAAATTTATTTCTTTTGCATATCGATGCTACATTCCCACTTATCCAAAAAAAAATGAAAAAAACAATACCATATTTCCCTTCCACTGTACTCTAATTTTGCACTTGATATTATTAAGCAGTTGTTTTCATGAAAAATGGGTTTATAGTATCATCTTTACATTCATGATAAATAGTAACGTTGGTTAACGTCATATACTGCAAAGAAACAAAGGCTGATGTATGTTGTTACTTTTGTAGATACGAGATGGATATGCTTGCATTTACTGGCTGCAGTCATAGCTTGACAGCAGAAGAAGATGATGAACTACGTAGGATGCGTTATGAAGTCAGCCATTGGAAGGAGAAAGAGATTAATGGTACAGAGAGAAGATTGCTCGGTGGCTGTCCACTGACCCCTAGGGAGACTTCCCTCTTCCTCAGAGCATTGGGTTTCCCACCAAGTACTCGAATTTACTTGGTAGCTGGTGAAGCTTATGGAAATGGAAGTATGGAGCCTCTTAAGGAGGATTTCCCTAACATCTTCTCTCATTCCTCCCTGGCAACAGATGAGGAGTTGAATCCTTTCAAGAACCATCAGAACATGTTGGCCGGTTTAGACTATGTTGTTGCCCTTCAGAGTGATGTATTTGTGTATACTTATGACGGAAATATGGCAAAGGCAGTTCAAGGCCATAGGCGATTTGAGAACTTCAAGAAGACAATCTGCCCTGACAGGTAATTTGCTAGCTATTAGATTGGAACTATTTTTAACATTTTCAATTTAGTTATTTCTGTCCATTCTTGAATGAATAATACTATAGCACCGAATCATTGTAATTTCCAGACCATAACGTGCGTAAACAATTATTAATCTGTTGGTGCAGGATGAATTTTGTGAAACTTGTGGATGACTATGATGAGGGGAATATTTCTTGGAAGAAATTCAGCTCTAAAGTGAAAAAGCTTCACAAAGATCTAGCTGGCGCTCCATATCTTAGAGAGTCTGGAGAATTTCCAAAACTGGAGGAGAGTTTTTATGCAAATCCACTTCCGGGATGCATCTGTGTAAGAACAGAAGAGATGTAGGAAGCAGAAACACAGCTTCTACAATTTTGTTTTTAAATGTTACAAAGTTTAAAAAGCTTGACTGAGAAAGAGGGTTTGCACTGTGCTGGCAATGTTTCAGACATGCTTCTCGATAAGGATAAAAATTGTATATAATACCATTCAGTACCACAACACAACTCGATGGTTGAACAAAGCCTGCTCGAGGGGGCAATTCCCAGGGCAGCATTTGAACCAACGCATTAAGTCATCATCAATGGAGGCACCAGCTGGCCCGAAGCGAATAGAGTCACACTGTTCTCCTTTCTCAATAGGTACAGGTAATAGATAAACATTCATTTGATGCAGAGGGATTTCATGTCCCTAACTGTCCTTCATAAGAAAATGTTTTCTTTTTTTCTTTTTTGGTCTATTTCCCTTGTTGTTTTGATTAAAAGGAATTGGTTTAGGTTGTTCCCAGGCAAAGAATAAGTGATGGAAATATGATATATAGGATGATACTTTTTAAACTGGATTACATCTGGATATTAATAATAGAAATATATGGTTTCAATGATGGATGGATTTGGTGAACGCAAATGTATATATTAATGGATTAGAGGTGATTGTATCAATCAAGGTGATCCACTGCCGGTGAAATTCTGACTGCAACAAAGGCTGCAGATACTGCTTAACAACTTGCATCATGTATTTGCAGGGGTTTCCACCTAGTGATCTGTGGCTCTGTGCCATAATTTAGTTTGATAGTGCGTTTCATTTATCTAATCACTATACAAAACTTTGTGAATAAATGCTCAACAACCAAAGATATATGAATGCATCATATTAAGGATCTGAAAAACATAAATGCATGTCAAACGAGCATGATGATGCTTCCATGGAAAGCATTCATGCAATATCTTATTGCATTACTCGAATCTGGTTTTTCATTGTAGATAATGCAGTGAACATGTGAGAACCTTCTTCAACATTGCAACATCGAGACAAATGCTATACTTTAAAGAACTGCTCTTAAGTATACAGATACACAACATTAACATGAATTTACAAATAAATAACATTCTAAATATGATAATAATACGAATGCGATACCAATTAGACAGATTTACACCTATTGTACTGCACCATGATTAAATGAAGCAATGGAAGTGGGATATTCCAAGAAAAAGGAATTAAATTTCCTTTAAGATAAAATAAAAAAAGGGGGGGGGAATAAGAAGGTGTTCTGCTTTGCATGTGTTTGAAACTGACAGGGGATAAGAACATCATCTGGGAACTCCTCTGCCAAACTTACAATACAAAGAGCAGTGCCAAGGACTTAAATGCAAACAAATTATTTATGAAAACATGTTTACATAAAAAAAAAACTTACGTTGAAAAAGAACCCTAGAACTAAACTTTGATTTTCCCAGTTTCCCAAACTGAAAAAAAGATTTAATTGGTCAGTGAGAATGCTGGGGTACTGTGATAAAAGAAACAGAGGGAAAAATGTAAAAGAGTTAGTAGCAGTAAAAACTTAAAACTGTACAAGCTTCCTATGAGAGAAGGCATTTCATTTAAGCTCATACTATATACCGGCGTTTTTCCCGAAAAATCATCGTTGAACAGTATATTTCCCGATCAGGCACCCGTCAGACTATATTTCCCGATCAGGCACCCGTCAGACTATATTTCCCGATCTAACACCCATTGCAGTATAGCGCGCCCCAGGGGGCACGCTTTACCATATGTGGCGTAAAGCGCGCCCCCTGGGAGGCGCTATACCTGATTTGTAATAAATCCGAGTGTTAGTTTTGTAAATATTTTTAAACTGGTGCCTAATATGTAATTAATTTCTGTTATGATGATATTTGTGTAAAAATATCAATTTCAAAACAAACCAATCTGCAGCTTTAGACAAACAATTCTGCAAGGAATCTTTGATGGCCCCTCACATTTTTACTGTCTTTCTTTTGTCTCTTCCGCTGCCAGATTTAAATTACATTTACCCTACTATGACGGATTCAATTACAATGTATTACCCCCACAATTTATTATTCGATTTTAATTATCATTTTTGTTTAGCTTTAATTTTTTATTATTTAGAAATATATTAATATTATTACAGAAAAGTTAACTTGTTATTTCCACATAATAATTATAGAAAAGTTATACAATTTAATTAAATTTATATTTTATATATAATATATGAATTAATAACACAATTTGGCAGCCTTAAAACGTTGCTATGATCCTTTGCATTATTTGGAGAATTCAGCTGAGTCCTTGCTTTTATTTATTTGTGGTTGGCACTGACACTGCCAATGCAAGGAGTCAGAGTTGCCTTGCAAGCTGTGCTTTTTAATTCAATGCTAATCACTTTTGTTTTTCCCTTTTTGTTTGATTGACTGTTGCAAACAAATCAGACTTAAAAATTAATATTTCTTTATTTAAAATATTCTTTATAATATTAATTATAAAAAATATAAAATAAATAAAAATGCAATAAAAATGAATAAAATTCAATAAAAATATAATATAAAGCTAAAAAATATCACCTCTTTATTTAAAATATTATTTATAATATTAATTTTAAAAAATATAAAATAAATATTAAATTTTAATGTTATTAAAAATGAATAAACATTATAAATATTATTAATACATATATTCTTTTGCATGAATGTTATAAAAAAAAGGAGTTCATACGCGGGAGAAAATGATGAGACAAAACAGTTTTTGTGAAGATTGAACAGAAAAGATCAACTCTTTGATCGAATGTTTATTCGTGGTACAATTGAGTTGATATTTAGACAACAGTTAGACAATTTTGAGTTATTAACTTTGTATGATCGAATTTTCATTCGATCCCTGTAGCTTTCCACACCTACGACTGTTTAACAATCATAAACTTGACTTTAGGTCTTGAAAATACAATATTTTAAAATTAATTGTTTAAAAATATAAAAAAATACTAAAATAACTTTTAATTACACTTGAGAGATTAAATGAATTATTATTTTTTTAATAACAGTTAATAATGTTTATTCATTTTTAATAAAATTAAATTTTAATATTTATTTATTTTTAAAAAAGTGAATAATAATTTTTTTAATATTTTTAAAAAATTAATTTTAAAAGTTAATAAATATTAATAAATATTATTAAATATTAAAAAATTATTATTAAAAGAAAGACAGTAAAAACGTGTGGGGGCCATCAAAGATTCCTTGCAGAATTGTTTGTCTAAAGCTGCATATTCGTTTGTTTTGAAGTTGGCATTTTTACACAAATATCACTCTAACAGAAATTAATTACATATTAGGCACCAGTTTAAAAATATTTACAAAACTAACACCCGAGTTTATTACAAATCAGGTATAGCTTGCCCCAGGGGGCGCGCTTTACGCCACGTATGATAAAGCGCCCCCCCTGGGGCTCGCTATACTGCAATAGGTGTTAGATTGAGAAATATAGTCTGACGGGTGCCTGATCGGGAAATATAATGTTCAACGGTGATTTTTCGGGAAAAAACCAACCCTTACACGATGATTTGACCTAACTAACACCCTATAGACCTAAAATTATTTATATAATACCGTTTGACCAATATTTCCCTAACTAACACCCTTTCAGCTGAGCTGGCATAAAGGCGCGTCCCCGGGGATGTGCTTTACTGGGATTTTCTTATGTGGATGTAAAGCGCGTTTCCAGGGATGCACTTTCCAGCCACGTGTAAAAATCGGGTGCTAATATTATAAATATTTATAAAATGTTCCTAATATGTAATTAAATTCTATTAGGGTGATATTTATGTAAAACATCAACTTTATCTATTTATTTTTTGTTGTGAAAAAACTTTCTACCTTAAAATCTTTAAATATTCTATTGCAAAATATTTTATAACTCGACAAATTTTGATTTTTGCATGAAATAACACAATACGTGTAATATAGTATAGGAAAACTTTGAAGGTAAGTAATTTAAAATATGAATAATTTTATAAAAGTTTTATAACTAGTATTTTTTTTATAAAATGATGATGATGATTAGAAATATTTTATAATTTAAAAAATTATAAAGTTTATATATTTTTGAAAAATTTATTGACTTTTAAAATTAATTGTTTAAAAATAAAAAAATATTAAAATAAACTTTTAATTACACTTGAGAGATCAAATGAATTATTATTCATTAACTATTAATATTTATTTTATATTTTTTTAAATTAATATTAGAAAGAATATTTTAAATAAAGATGTGATATTTTTTAGCTTTACATTCTTTTTCATTAGAATTTAATATTTATTTTATATTTTTTAAAATTAATATTAGAAAGAATATTTTATATAAAGAGGTGATATTTTAATAATTAATGAATAATAATTCATTTGATCCCTTAATTGTAATTGAAAGTTTATTTTAATATTTTTTATATTTTTAAACAATTAATTTTAAAGTCAATAAATTTTTAAAAAATATATGAAATTTATAATTTTTTAAATTATAAAATATTTCTTATCATCATAATCATCATCATCATTTTATAAAAAAAAATACTAGTTATAAAACTTTTATAAAATTATTCATATTTTAAATTATTTACCCTCAAAGTTTTCATATACTAGATTACACGTATTGTGTAATTTCATGCAAAAATAAAAATTTGTCGAGTTATAAAATAATTTGTAATAGAATATTTAAAGATTTTAACGTAGAAAGGTTTTTTTACAACAATAAATAAATAAATAAATAAAGTTGACGTTTTTACATAAATATCACCCTAATAGAATTTAATTACATATTAGACACCATTTTAAAAATATTTACAATAATAGCACCCGATTTTTACACGTGGCTGGAAAGCGCATCCCTGGAAACGCGTCTTACGTCCTTTGAGCCACCTCAGTCGAAAGGGTGTTAGTTAGGGAAATATTGGTCAAAGGATGTTATATCAAATATATTAGGTTTATAGGGTGTTAATTAGGTCAAATCGCCCCATTACACTAATAATAATAGTTTTCGCTTTTGGTTTTTTTCTTAGTCTTTTAAATCCGTTAAACCATTTTACTTTTATGGGTTTCGATAGATTTGTCAGAGACAAGAGCGGCCATTGAAGCAACTTATCTGTAATCTCAGAAAAGCAACAGAGATGTGACAGTCAACATTGAAACATCTCTCTCTGTCTTCTTTCATGATTTCATCTGTCAGTGAATAAATGGAAAAAAGGGCGATTTTTTCCAAAAAATCACCCTGACAATCTTTTTTTACTTTTCAGACACCCTTTCATCTTTATTTACCGATCTAACACCTTACGATGATCTGGCACCACGTGGGGTAAGGTGCGCCCCCTGAAGTGCGCCTTATGCTGACATGGTTACACGTTGGCTAAAGCGCGACCCTTAGGGTGCGCCTTACG